GGTTTCGTAAAGCTGCAGAAAGTTATCCCAGAGATAGCAAATTAGCGACAAGATTTGCTCCTGGATCTCCTTCTCGTTAAATTCAGGGGTGAATGCGTCAATGTCCTATTTCCAGCATTAGGTTAAACGATGAAGCGGTAAGAAACAGAGCCAAAAGTGCCTACCTCTTCATGGGTCACATAAGCTGGAACATTGATATCCATGACCCCAAAGTTCTGGCCAACGGCCCACCCAATGTACTCCATTACCCCGTCAACCTGCGCAGTCAGCTCAATATTATGGTCGTTTATGCATGTATGTGATGCGCACTCACCACCCATGTATTATGAGCATCCAGAGTGGTTTCTGCCACATCCACTTGGGCTAGTAATTGAGGCCTGTGACAAAATTGAGTAACCTCCTGAGATATAAGGGGACCAGCTGCTATACGTACGGGTCATGTAGAATGACAAGAATCTTTTGTGCATCGTGTAGGTTTGGCGTGACGAGCACTTGATTTTCAAACGATTTTGAGATGAGCTCTCGCTGTATGTAGAGCGGGATCATGTTGTATTTTGACTGCATAACTTGGCGTTGCGCATTTCTGATGACATCGTGCAGCCTGTCTGCATTGAGAGACTGAACATCAGGCACATCGACGATTCCGGGCCGCATGCATTCCCAGTAGGGGGCATGATACGCTTGCACTTTGGCTAATGTTCTGGCTGCCTCTTTGTTGATCTTGGGGAGAGCAAGCTTTGGCGGTGGTTCTCCCATCAAAGTTCGCGCAACGGCTACCGCAGAGCTGGAAATTGCCTGGAGGTTATAGCCGCCTTCTAGGCAGACGGCGACCTTGCCGTCCGCGAGAGACATGAGCATGTGCGTCATGTGGGCGTAACAAGCAGGCGTAACGAAGCAGCCACCCAACTCATCCCCGTCGGCAGCGTCGAACCCTGCCGATATGACGACGAGATCCGGATTGAACTCTTTCGCGATGGGCATCACAATCTTTTGAAACGCTGCCATGTATTCGCCGTCGCCCATGCCTTGGTCATGCCAGCCAATGTTGATGTTCTTGCCCAATCCTGGTCCTGTGCCGCAGTGTTCTATACCGCCATCAGGAGTCATGGGATTCGGTGGTTTGCCAGGGTAAAACATTCCATTCTGGTATACATGGATGGATATGTAAAGGACGTTGGGATCCTGGTAGAAAATGTTTTGGGTACCGTTGCCATGGTGGACGTCCCAGTCCAAGATGAGGACTTTGCGGCATTGGTCTGGATAATCTTGCTGGCACACCCTGATTGCCACGGGGACATTGTTAAAGAAGCAAAATCCCATGGGCTGATCAAACTCAGCATGGTGCCCAGGAGGTCGGATCACAGCAAAGGCATTTTTGACTTGTCCAGTAACCACACTTTTGCAGGTTTCGATGGCGCCACCAACGGATAAAAGGGCAGCGGGATAAGACATGCTCCCGACATAAAGAGATTCGCGGCCTTGGTCGAACTGCCTTGTCAAGTCACGAAGATCAGACGTACTGATTGTGTCGAGGCTTTCCACCCAAGCCAGGTGCTCAGGGGAATGGGCCAGGCAGATCTCTTCCCTGGTGGCAGGCCGAGCTGGAATCCTCCACATGTACTTGGTTGGACAGTCCTTCATGATTCTCGGTAGCTCCGATTCTGGGCCCGTATATACAAGCCCCATTCTCTTGAAGGCCTTGAATATTTCGTGGATACGTCGGGGATCCTCAGGATGGTGGGTATTCGGACTGAAGTCGGCGTTCATGTGAAGCTTCATTCGATCATCGTAACAGCAGCCTGTGGGGAGCAAACCACGCCGCACCCGTAGCTGGGCAATAGTTTCCTCTATAACGCTTGGCTCACTGTCCTCATGATATATGCTATCTGAGGCAGTGTCATCGTCGTTCATTTGCGGTCCACTTCCATGACCGTTGAGACTTGTCATGTCGGTGTCCCCCATCACATGGTCTTCAGATTCCTCCATGTCTATAATTGGAGCCATGATATATCCAATAGTAGCGAGTATTGGGGATATCGCACGAAATGATGGAGCTGAACCCCCCAGGCCTACGGCCGCCGTATCAACTTTGACCTTTGGCTATGCTTTTCCCCTTGACACGTTGAAGGCAGTATGTGAATCTAATGCAGCATTAGCACTACTCACGTCATGATTTGGGGAAAGATAAAGCTGCCACGGTTATGAAATGCAGATAAATAGAAAGAAGGGAGGGAAGAAAAAAAGAGAAGAAGACTGTGTTCAACGCTCAAGCATAGGAACACTGTGGGTAAACGCGTAGGGAGAGACACTGAGAGACTTAAGGCAGCATCCGAGGAGCGCAGCCAGGACAGCAGAATGAAATATGGGTGCAGGCCAAAGAAAGAAACTCCATAAGTAAAGTGAAAGCACGATTGTGAATAGTGAAGCCCAAGGTGAAAATGGATGCAAACGTGAATGCAACGCCATCCGCCCAACTCACCTCAACCCCAGCCACTCCCTTCTCAGAGCAAATCGTAGAAAATTGCAGACGAGGCGCGAGATGCCAGCAATATCCTCAAATAGAGCATGGACGAGAAGAGTCGCCTCGTATGGCCCTCGGGGGCTGACCGGGGGCCGTCAATTAAATAACCTGGAGAAGTGCAGATAGAGGCTGAACTTGGGTATGAGATGCCACTGGTTTCATTTAGTTGAAGTGACGCTGGCTTAAGAACCTTGGCGCTTGGACTTTTTAGCCCTGGGCTGCTGCAGCCACTAGTTGCGGCGATGGTGGCTGGTGCGTAACATGAGCATGAAAGAAATCAGCGAATCCGTCCATTCCAAACCAACGCCCAATGGATGTCCTTTGTTCCTCTTTCCTGCGGGGTTCCTGTTCTTTGAAATTGGTTGCTTCATTTCTGAGTTTTGATTGGTAACAGAGAAAATGCGACAAAGAGGGATTCCCGCACAATAACTAAAGCATACGTGGGAGCCTCATCTCAAGCGCCCAAGGCGGCAAATCTCTCTCCCGCGTGTAATCATTGACAATCTTTGAATGTATAACTACAATCCATTAATATTCAAAAAAATCCCACAGTCTAAATTATTGATCTGGCAAGGAAATCGCCGTGGCGCGTGCTAGACGCGTTTGTGAAATTAACTGCGAGACGAAAGACTGCCGTGCCATGTAATCCATTTTATGCGCCGCCTGTGATAAATACAAATCAAAGTCTTCAAGATCCCCGCCATCACTCTCATCAGCCTTCGCACCGTCTATGCAAACAGCGTTGTCTTGTCCAGCTCGTTCTTGGCAGGTCGGTTGCCGTTGGACAGGAGGCCTAGATCATCCTTCTTTGACACGCGACCAACTGCCTGCTCCACCCTGCCGTTGTGCCTTGCGGCCTTTGCCCTCCGAATGTCAGCTCTGATTTGGTTGGGAGAGACGAATTCTCTGTTCTCGTATATGATTGGTCCACCGAACGAGCCTTCCTGTATCACCAGAGGCGTGAGAACGAATCTAGGTCCAATTTCGACGAGATTGATGTCCTTGTTGGATTTGCCAACTGTGGTTTCCTCCTCGTCGCCGTCCTTGGATTTGGTCTGCTCGACCTCGCTAATTTGATAGTTCCGGATCCAAATCTTGCCATCTGCAATGCTGAAGCCCATGACATGGTCGATGAATGGCTTCGACTTTCGCGCGCCTTGCGGAACACCAAATGTGTGAAGGAAAAGTTCCTTCATGACGCGGAAATGCGGCTGGGTCTCGAAGGCGGCGTCGAATGAAAGGATTGGTCTTGAGCCCTTCAAGCAGTTTCCAGTGAAGTGTAATTCCTCCATCGTGTGCACTGCAGGCAAAGCCGTTAGTACGAGATGTCGCCCCATGGAACCAAATCGGTCGCAAAACACTCACAGTTTTGCAGGTGGAATTTAACTGTCGGGCCATTGGGCACCTTGCTCATCCATACATATAAATCTTTGCCCTTTCTCGCCTCGAAAAACAAAACATTGTTGCAGTTGTAGAGCTCAGCCAGTTCATTGAGCTCGCCGAGTCTGGATTTCGAGTCGAACTTGGCATCCTTTCGACCGTGAGGGAGCAGAGATGCAAGATCATTCAAGAGGTGGCGGTGTCTGTTAATTGAAAGTCAGCCAAAGGCACGGCAATCATCAAATCCATCGCCGCAAGACTTGCCTGTATGTGACACCTCGACTGGACAAGATCAGCACTCTCTGCTTGTTTTTCTTGACGCCATTGGTCGACGATTCGTTCTTCTCGCTGCCGCCCTTGGACAGGGACTTGTATACGGCCGCCATCTTGCAGAGTAGGGGATTGCTTAAGCGGTTGGGAATGGACGTACAAAATAGTTTGCGACTGCTAGAAAATTTAGAGGAGCGCAACGCGATAAGCAGTCGAGATCCTTATCGGAAAAATCATGAATGTGGGTCGCTCGATAGCCAGTCCCGGCACGGCTTAGCGGCGGTTGGAGCATGGTGGGGGGGATTCTCGCTGAGCTCGGTAGGCAGGAATTTGGGGGCCTTAAAGGCGGGAAGCAATTCTGCGGAGTGTATCGCATACCAGTGGACTCCAATAGTACCTAGAGACAAGGTGGTTTCATCACCGCCAATCTTGGCCTTCGGATCGATGGGATATGATGTACATTACCTACAAATTTAAATACAGAGCAACAAGGACCTATAGCGTAAGACTAGGAAATCTGAGGAGACGATGCCGCCAGGTTGAAGAACCGAATCATTTCATTAAGAGGTCATTTAGCTACGTAAGATGAGGCTTCGTAGCCGTCACCGGATAGATCAGCCCAGAAACCCCCCTCGCGACAAACAGAAACAACAGAAAGTCAAAAGTGTCTGCGCCCTTCTAAATTGAGAAACAAAAGGAAGCATCAGGCCTCTTCCTCATTTCCTCGACACAGCGTCGAAGTCTTTCGGTATGCGACGTACATTTTCGAAACATGCGACTTGAAATATTTCCCATTTCCCCACATGTCGTTGGCATCATCATAACTAGCTTAGCAGCACTTGCCGCCCTTGGAAGCCTCATCGTCGGCTGTCTTGCTGAGTGAGATGTTAGTGCCGGCACCAATGGTGGCCTGGGCACCATCACCGCTGTCGAGAGCCTTGCTAGATACGATTCGGTAGATCTCTGTATCGAGGGTTGTGTTAGTCCTGAAGATGGTAGGGGAACGATGGAAAGACGGATCGCACCAGTAAGGATGTTCTGGAAGGCAAGCTCAACGTTGCTGGCATCGAGGGCAGACGTCTCGATGAAAGAAAGATGGTTCTCGCCTACAGATCAGATTGGTCAGTACAACGTCATTTATCTCTTGGATCGCAAGACGAACTAGCAAAGCCCTTGGCCTCATCCGTAGGCACAGCCCTCAGGTGTCTCAAATCGCTCTTGTTGCCGACCAGCATGATGACAATGTTCGCATCGGCATGGTCCCGAAGCTCCTTTAGCCATCTCGTGACGTTCTCGTAGGTTTGGTGCTTGCTGATGTCATAGACGAGGAGGGCGCCCACGGCACCACGGTAGTATGCGGAAGTAATGGCACGGTAACGCTCCTGACCAGCTGTATCCCAAATCTGCGCCTTGATGGTCTTGGAGTCGACCTGGATCGATCTAGTGGCAAACTCGACACCGATAGTTGACTTGGAGTCGAGGTTGAACTCGTTGCGGGTGAATCGGCTGAGAAGGTTGGACTTTCCGACTCCAGAGTCACCAATCAAGACAACTAGCAGACTCGGTGTTAGTAGGCATGCGGCCACGGAGCAGATTGGCGGCGTTGGCCATCCACGTAGGAAGGGAGGGCGGCACCTTTGAAGAGGAACTAGTGGGGGTTGAAGCATCGCCGTTAGCGTTCCGCCAGGTGTTCATTTCGTTGCTGGGCTTGAAGGGGGCGGAACCTACATCATATTCGTCGTTGGCCATGGTAGCAGCGGAACGGGTCGATGCGCGCAGGTGAGTGAAGGCGGTTTGATGCTGCACAAGGGAAGCTGTGACGCTGAGATGTGTGGTTGTGGTTGTGGATGTGGATGTGGAGGGGAAGAAGTGGCTGCGCGGCTCTGACGATTGGTAGCACAGGTTGCTAAGTCAGTCAGCCAGACGGTCACCTGTGGCACGCTGTGCTGTGCTGGGAATTTGAGCTCAGGAGGCGCGCCGTAGGCAGCGAGGAATGCATTTCCTGCAGCCTGACAGAGACTTGCCGGCGACTACACTCTGCCCTAGACGCTGCATCAATCAACAGGTACCTTTGAGGTACTGTCTTTGGGCCCCTTCGTTAGCCTGTGAACGGCCGTTAGCACAACAGGTATAGTACGATAGTGGCCCTCTGCTACACCAAAGAAATTGATGCCCTTTAGGTGCTGAGGAGTCCACCAACAGGAGACGGGAGCCGTATGGAGACTCTGGACCCCATCCCTTTAGCACCCAAAAGACCATGATAACATTCTATTCTATTCTGTCCCCCCCTTTTTTGGGTTTCTCCTGGTTGAGAGCGGTTCTTGTATCTGTACTTGTGAGGTATTGGTGGCACTTATAGGGCTGCCTAATGCCGTGTATCATCCAGATAGGCGCCTACCAGAGCACAGAGCACAGAACACTACCTAGTAGTACTTTAGTAGGCAGATAGATCTCAAGACAGTTGAGCCCAAACACCACGCCCAAGCGTCGGCGGAAACTACTTGGTTAGAGCCGGGCCTTTTTTGGGAGAGTGGGGTTAAGGGTTTGGTCCACTAGCCACAGAGCACGGAGCTCACGTAAGGAACTTGCAGGGGTTGATGATCAACTGTGCTGTCTTGTGCTCAGGCTCGGGCTCGTGCAGCTGCTTAGCAAACAACATCACAGCAATTTTGTAGCCATCAGACGGGCATAGTAGTGCCGCCCAGGGCATGCTTTGGACTCATTCCCAGGTTGGCACGGCAATTAACACTTCCAGTTATTACACCATCCTGGCAGCGGTAGTCATGGTTTCTGCCGCGACATCTGTGCGCAGGTGCAATCACGTGAATTCAATTGCATCCAGGCCGTTTGCAAACAATCTCAAGCCACCAGGACAACCAGCTATCACCACTCTTCGCTCGGAAACGCTGTCTCTATGAAACATCATCTTCGGCGATGGCGTCTGGAGGAGATTCTGACGATGAGATTTCAATCACATCCACCGATGATGAGAACGGTGACGAGCTGTTCGTCGACAAGGTCCTGGCGGAGAGGCACGTTAACGGAGAGCCCCGCTGTCTGATCCAATGGAAAGATCTCCCCATAGAAGAGGCAACCTGGGAGCCCAGAGGAAATTTAACGGATGAGCTCATGGGAATCTGGGAGCAGACCAAGGCAGACGAAAGAAATGGGCTGGTGCCAAAGTTCAGGTTTCAGGACTGGAAAGATGCCGTCAAGAAGAGCTACGAGTCAAAGCTTGCCCGACACCACCTTCGCAACCTCGTGCGCGCAAGACGCGGCTATCCCCAGACGACAATGTTGACGATGCATGAGTTTCTGCAGTTGCTCAGCGATTATCCGGAAGAAGAAGAAGAAGAAGAAGAAGCTGGTCAGATTGATCCAACCCCTGCACAGATGGGCCTGCAGCAAAGCCTGTCAGAAAACCCGCCGGCTTCTTATACAGATCAGTCCGCGATGATCTCAGAAACTTCGACAATATTGATTGAAGATTCTCCTTCTCCCCAGGAACCTATGCGGGAGGGGCTTTTCGGAACACCTGATGAGACCAGGACAACCAGCCCACCAGAGACATTACCCGTGAACCCCCCGGCCCCGTTAAAGTCAGCCTTAAAGAGTTCCGAGACCACGACGCGAGCTTCTGTGAGATTCATTCTTCCACCCACAGGGACTTCTCGTGAGGTGCCTAGGAGACACATCCCATCAAATCGGGCGGCTGCAGCAAGATCAACAGGGTACGCAAATGTCTTCGCCGGCGGTCGTACTCGCAAAGGGAGAGGAACGTTGAGTGAAGCAGCGGCAAACCCAGAAGTCAACCCTAAATTCTTAAATTCGCGACTCAAAAGGAAGATAGAGTTACAACGTCGAGATAGAGAGGGGATCAAGGCACCAACAAGTCACCCTTCTGAACTGATCTCTCTTGACCACAACAACCCACAATTATCAGCCAATGGTTCCAAAGATGATGATCAAATCAACGGGAAACGCAAATCTCCAACAAAGGGCGTTGCTCACTGGGAAGACGAGCCGATGGAAATCGACCCAAGGGATAGCCTGTTTGTATCTGATCAGACTCCTTCACTGGCTTCAGATGCCTCAGACGACGAAATGACCCAGCCAGATACTGATGATGGCGAAGAGCAGCCAGAATATCAAGCAATAAGCAAAACTGTGCAACTAGGTCCCAAAAAACTAAGCACGATCACTCTCTCTTTTGATGGGATACCCCTGGAACGAGGTCTCGCTTGGGCAGAGCAGTTTCGTTCAGATGAGCGACTCGTTTTCACACATACTTGCAATTCTCGGGATCTCTTTTGCCAGACAGGCATGAACGGCAGCCTATCAGTGGTACAATTATGCGAAGGCACTGTTGCATCATATACGGAGCTTAACGCCCTCAAAAGCTTAGCGAGTAATCTCAGACTCGGGTCTTTGGGATTGCTAAGTTGTAGCGAAAACTTCTGCGTGTACATGTTCTTCCCTGAAAATGCAGATGGCCAAGCAACACAAGACGGCGATGACACAGTCCTCAAATACCATATTTTCAAGCCAGTTGATTCCTTGACTCCGTCCATGCTGGCCTCCGCTTCACAGCTGATGGCGGCAGACAAGAGCGACAAAGATCCAGCATTTTGGTCAAGACCTTTGAATGAAATCTTTGGCCAGAAATATGAGCAGCTACTCCCCGTTCACGTAAGAGATGGCGAGAAACACAACTTCTTCTTGGCCTTCCCCAATCGTGCCGAACAAGAAGCTTTCCTATTAAGCGGGTGGCTGCGAGATAACCGGAGCGACTGCGATATTCGGGTCAGTTACACAGGAGGTTCTTGGTCTAGCTTCGTAAAAATGGCCAATGGGATTGTCATTATTCATGAAGATATGCTTTGGGCAATACGAAAAATCCCCAGATTACACGACCTTTTACATGGGCGCAGAACACACTTCACGTTTTGGATGTTCAGCCGCTCTCTTTTGCCCGTTCATTCACTAGGTTCTGAGGGCTCGCCAGCGTCCCCTCTGGGCGACATCCGCCTTTACCGTGTGTTTGATCCTGGGGCAGCCTTCTTGATCACGCCGAGCTTCTTGGTCTCTGAGCCAGAGCATGCGTATTCGTTTTTGAAGTGGTTCTGGAACAACTACGTCAAAACTTTCGACGTGAGCCGACCCAGGAAGTTGGTTCTGTGCGCAAAGATTGACGAATGGATGAACAACCTATACCTGGAGCAGATGTCGGTGAGACGCAAGCATCCGCCTAACGCGCCAGAGGAGGAACTCAGCGTCAAGGGCATATCCGATAAGGCCATCGAATGCCGATGGAAGTCTTTCAAGCTCATCCAACAGCTTGTTGCAGATGCTCCCGACGAAAATGCCGGAAGTATTATCCTCGCACCCGAAGCAATAGATGGCAACGATGAGCAAAGCTTGGTCAACTGGTTCGGCGAGTGGTCCACCTTGAACATAGAACAGTACCGAAGATATACTGTCATAGGCTGTGGCTGGCAAACCGAAACACGGCTCTCAAGAACGCTTCGGGCACCAATTTACGAAGACGGCGTCGTAAACGATCCGGACGAAGCACTGTCCGGTGTCCCAACCCAACCCGAATCGTCGACGCCTCCATCTGGGCCAGGGGCAGTTAAAGAAGACAAAAGCTGGTACATAAAAACTCGACTGTTTGAAATGATAGAGGAGTTCAAACGGGGAGCATTCACGCCCGTGAAATTGTACCTGTTTCCCGTGGCATATTCGACGTCAGATGTTAGTTTCCGGCTTGGAGACATCGCGCAAAAATATAGTACATATGAACAGTGGTTTCATTTTTACTGGAGAGTGTTTGACACCTCCCGCAGACATATGCACAATTCGTACGCAGGGCTGTTTTACACCTTTGATGAGCGGCAGGCTTCGTCGCGTACATTTCACAGCGTCCAACGATCCCCGTGGGCTGCTCTATTCCGTCCGGTTAACCCACATATGCGGCCTTGGAAGAGTTTAGAGCTGTTCATATGGGATATTAATCATTCAGAAAGCACCAGGAAAGGCAGAACTTTTTGCTACGCTGATCTTCTCGAAGGCCAGCAACGCTTGATAGACCACATACAAGAAAGGGTACGAGACAGACTCCCGCTTGAAAAGGTCTGGGTGGGCGCTGTTGGGGCCGGGGCCAAGCCTAGTGGTGTAACTGATCTGGATATCACACTGCAATGGCTTGATGGCGTAATGACGAAAGTTAAGGACTGGATACCTGCACCAGCCAAAGATATACCTGGTAGGGGATGGAGTCTTGTCACTCCCGAGAGGTCGTCAAAGGATCGGGAGGACAGAAGGGCTCCCGTCAGGAATGAAGACGATATGAAGGGGAATTTGCAGCTAGGAGACGGCGCACCATCCCGAAAGAGAATCTTCCATCCACCACAGGGCCACGGTCATTACAAATATACGAAATGTCGAAATCGGCTGCACCAGGCGGCACGAAAGTTCGACCCTAAGCTGGAAGGGAAGAGCTTCGAGTATACCTTCAGGCCAACAATAGACTGGTACGCCGAGCAATGTGAAGAGGGCCGCGGGTTTGAACATATCAAGGTAATGGCATGGAGAGATGTTTTTCAAGTTTACAAAATCGAGGAGTTTTTTCAGAAACGAAGCTGATGGGCGAATCGTTGGTTTCAACCGTTTCGGCTTCATTTGGGGAGGGTGCATCAGCTCCATCATGAGGATATCTGGACATGAACATATAATGGCTCTTTTTATCTTTTTGTCTTCATCTCTCTTCCAAATTGTGGATTCATATGCATCGACGGCAAAAGGAGCCGCCAGTAAGAGTGCGCATTCTACAACAAAGGCCAAATGTGGTCATGCGTGTTTACAAATTGTAATTAGTACTATACATGAGAAATAATATCGTCAATCTACCCCCAGTTCATGGCTACGCGTCCTTTCGCCAGTAAAATGCCCAACAACTAAGCAGTAAAATACAATGCGCTTGATTCTGCTTTTTACCTAGCAGAGGTAGGGAAAGTCCGCGCACTCAAAAGAACGCCCTTTATCCTTCGGATGTTATCCCTTACTTTCCGGATTTCGTCTTCCGAGTCCTTCTTCTTCCTCTTGTCAAAGTTTCCGAATAATTCGGCATGGTGTCCGTATGTCATGTTATCGAGATCGTCGCGGAAGACGTCCAGCAATACCTTGATATCCTGGGACTCGTTGCTCTGCTTCTTAAAGTCGTCCGTAAGCCCCTTTAGCGACTTTGTCAGTTTCGAAAGGCGATCGGCTTGGACCTTTGACTGCGCCTCGTCTTTGCCCTTGGGAGTCGAGGACGAAGGGCTGTTGGGGAAAGACGTCTGGGTGCCGACGTCACGGTGGAACATTTCAGACGGGTCTTCGGATTCGGTCGCCTCCGAGGCGGTGTTTGCGGAGCTCTTGTACGATGGGACGACAGAGACGGTGTTTTCGAGCTGGGTCACGATGGAATCCAGTCGGTTCGCGGTGGTCTCGTGTAAATCGATTCGCGCGTTTGTCAGTTTCTCCACCATCGGCTCGACGGCGAATTTGCTCGCGCCATATAGAAGCGTCGACAAGCCTCCAAAGGCGTAGAGGGTATTGAGGAGCCCGTTGGTCGTGACCAAGGGGGGTGTGCGCTGGGGCTTGGTGAGGAACTCGGGGTATGTCACTACGGGAGGCCGATCGCTGCCTGCGAGGATAGAGGTCGGGGGTTGGGGAACGGCGGGTGGTTTCGGGGCGAATGATTTTTCGAGCACTTGCAATGCTTTTTGGTTGGACTCCTGTCGCTGGCGTCAGTCTGATGGCGAGATAGAAGCGTCGGGATAGGCATGTGTTTACATACGTCTGATGGTGTGGACTCCTTCTCTGATGACGGCGCCTCTTCTAACCCACCGAGAAGATGCTCGATATCTTCATCCTCGACGCCTTTGGACTTGAGAAAGTCGACCTTGGTATCTCGGGGAGCCGTCTTGACAGCATCATCGTCCAGAAACCGTCGCGCAACTTCTAGCTTGTCTGTGTCGCTACTTTGTTGCGGTTGTGCTTCATCTGGGGTCGCATTATCACCGAGCGCGTTAAGCTGCCACTTGGGCACGCCATCGGGTGGTGATTTGCCTTCTGAGTCGTCCATTTGTGCTGTTTATTGGAATTTCGCATATCCTCGTAGGGGAAGCATGTCAGCTGAAGCGAGATGGCATTCGATAACATTGACCCCGGACGTCGGTTGGCCGGGTAAGATCCGGCTTTGTCATAGGCCTCGGCACATGCAAGACGCGGCGCGCTCTAGTGGATATGCCGATGACTAATGATTCAAGCCAATGAAATCTCGAGCTGTGCGAATTATCTGCCAAGTTCAGCCTTCAAGTTCATTGCTAGGCACAGGTAAGTAACTTGGAGAATCTCATACAGAAGCATTCTATCATCCATTACCCGGCATTGGAAACTCTTGATACGTACTGAATGCTGTTATCCCCTAATTAGAGTTGTATGACCCAAATCATCACTGTCATCATGAGACAAGGGTAATACGAAGTTGAGTTGCGACTTTGCAGCGCAGCTATACTGTTTGTGTTGGTTCCGCGCTACCCTAAGGTGACCTTGGAGTTGACGGGGGTAGATAAGTACCAATGGAGAATAAATCCGCGACTTTGTATGGATGAAGAGTAGCGAACAGAAGCGAGCCACTCTAATTGATGGTCTGTAGAGCTGCATACCTCCCAATCGAAGTTCAATTCCGGCATAAAGGCAATAGATTCTTCAAATCGTAGATATTTTGCTTCTAATAATGTATAGAGCACTAACAAAAAAGTGCTGAGAAAGTCACAAAAGTGGGCCTAGGGGGTCATCAAACTCTCGCCCATCAGCTGCTCTCAACACCAAAAATTAACATGCAATTGCGATACAACCATTGAATAAGAGCCGTCGCCGCTAAGCAACGCCTACAGACATTCAACTGCGCCGTTTGTTTTGGCTTACGACCCTTGGATTCTAGATTTATTCCTTCTTTTCTCCCTCTTTCCGCACTTCGGCCATCACCAACACGCCTGTTATTTTTTTTTATTTTAGACTTCATCACGTCGAGACTTGCCCTGCCGTCATCGCAGCGACGCTCAACGGCCATCGAATCATATCGCTTGGATCCCGGACAGCGCAGCGCTCGCCATTGGCATCGACTACCTGTACCGGTGCTAATACCATTGGTTCAGCGCGGTGCTTCTAGCATCTGGAACAGTGATAGATCGGGTCCTGCGCGCTGATCCCGGCATACCTATCCTCGCATACGCCTGCAGCAACGCGTATCGTGATTGCACAGCTCGGGTCCAATAAGAACAGCACCACGAATAGCCATTCTCGGCTGCACCCGCCGGCAAAGGTACAAACAAGGTAAGGCAATTGGGGGCTTCCCACGCAGTTCCTTTTCGTTTGTTTGTCTTGCCTGATATGTATCTCGGCGGATGTGATGCGTCGTGATCTGGCTAGCTGCTGCTACGCTGTCTCTGTCGCCATCGCTACCCGGTTCTCCCTACTGCTGCACCAACCCTGCTCTTCATTTTGTCTTTCTCTTCGTCACTCTGGACGAGACTTGGCCCATCATCATTGGCGTCTGTGGCCCAAGTGCCATTAACAAAGACTGCAAGTGCAGCATCCCAATAAATACATACCAATTTGCGAGAGCTCAGGTGTTGGAATCCGCCTCTCAAGTGCTGAGGTTGGACGGTTAATGTTTTGTCGTGGCCAATTCGTTGGCGTGGAGTATAAAATGCCTACACCTGGCTGCTTCATTGGACCGGCGCCCAAGACTCAATGTCCATCAACGGCAGGGTTGGGTGGCGCGAAATGCAGGCAGAGCGTCTCCAAGACCCAATCCGCGGCAGAGTTGCTGTTTTAGGGGCTGGGATCAGCCTGTCATGTTGTGGAAATTGCCTGAGCAGTTGCTCGCGTCCGTACAAAAACCCAGTTGCGCGGCCTTGCTTTAGTGGCTAGACCGAGCTTATCCCAACTACATGCCACATGTGCACATCGCTCAAGCAACATTTGAACCCTTTGCAAATCACCGTCGCCGTCGCCGTTGCCGCTGCCCTGGCTCCTGTTTGCAAAAGCCCGCACGCAACACAAAAACCATAGACCCGGCATTCTCCAAACACGTCAAGCATCTGCGAGTGCAGTCGGCGGATCATGTCCTCACGTCCCCGGCGTTCGGCCGCTGCAAAGGCCAAGGAAGTGATTTCCGTCCACGCCAGATGGGCTGACACAAGCGAAAAGGAAGACGCAGGTACCAGCATGTCCTCGCGACGGACAGGACGTGCCGGTGGCGCATCGGCCTCGCGCGATACAGCTTCATCGCCAGAAGAGACGCATCTTAGCGTTACAGTGAAGCTCCCCAACAGTAGGTCACGCCAAGCTACCAGGGGAGGCAATCGTCGGGTCGACCCATTTGAAGGCGGCGAGATTGTGCACGGGAAGCGCAACCGCGGCGGAAAAAAGAGCTATGTTATAGATTCAAGCCCTGATGACGAAGAAGAGGAGGAAGAGGAGGAAGAAGTAGTAGTAGAAGATGACGACGATGATGACGAGGAGGAGGATGATGACGATGAAGAGGATGCGGGAGCAGATGAGGATGACGATATGGAAGAGCTCGGTGACGAAGATGCTGAAGGTGAAGACGAAATGGAAGTTGATGCCGAGGGCGAAGAAGATGCAGATGGCGACATTGACATGGCCCCAAAGCCTGTTGGCCGCCCCTCAGCAAAGAATTCGAGGATTACCAAGTCGAGACCCACAGTAAAGGTCACCTCATCCAGGATGAATCGGGATGAAGACGAAGATGAAGACGAGGAAGAAGATGACGATGATGACGAACTCAGCGACCCGGCAGACAGCGACATAGGCGATGATACCATTGTTTATGGCGACCAGGCCATGGAAGATGAAGATGCCGAAGGAGAAGAAATTGAGGTCGCTGGGGATGAGGAAGATGTTGAAGAAGAAGATGAAATCGTTATGCAACAAGAGGCCAATGGCGATTCAGAGCTCGACAGCGAAGCAGGCAGCCGGGCTGAAACGCCAGATCTCGCCAAAATGACCAAAAGACAGAGGGCCCGATTTGAGGACATCCCTCAAGAGTTTATGAAATTGCCTGATGGTGAGTCTATCGCTACGCATCCGGACGTCTTCATGGGATGTGGAATGCGATTTGATTGGTTATTCAAGACCACGCCTCTGACCCCCTTATTGCAGAAATCCAAGTCAAGAAAGTGTTTACGGCGGAAGAATTATCCATGCGCCGCCAAGAAATGGCTAGACGGCGACGCAACCTCAGCGAGAAGCGCAATGAAGAAGTCAAGGTGAGCAGTACTACTCTTATGGGGGTTGAGACCTTCGTATACCCATCACATTGCTAATACCGCCACCGCAGATGGAGACCATCAACAAGCTTCTCAAGAAGCAGGCCCCAAAGATCAACCGTAAAGCCGCCGCCGATGCACAGGATCAGGACTCGCAAAAGGCCAACCCTATTTTCATTCGCTGGGTTAGCAACAAGAGTGGTAACCGGGTTGCCGTTCCAGAGGAGATCATTGAAGGGCCTGCCGGTACCGTGTTTGGAGGCAAGGCCCAGCCATCGTTGGGGAAGCCAGTAGTGGAGGTGGCCTAAATCAGGCTGCGTTGCGCCTCATATTTAGGCCTTCGATGACTCTCAGCACAAGGGTTGTGGGGGGTTAACGTACTACGGGATCAGATAATAACAAGGGGGGTATTTCTGGCGCTGTTGATTCTATTGGGACAACAGGACTGGGAAGAAAGCAAAAGGATGGGCGTACGGGCAAAGGGGCGTGACTAGGATCTATAAAGCTATAGCAGCATATCGGTAATGCAGACGATGATTGAGCGAGTTCTAATTTGATGTAGCCTAGTCTCCTAAAGCACTGCCTAGTAACTGTATCTCGTGTGAATAGGGCGTGTCTGGGAGTGCCGTGGCGGCGGATTGATGTTGCCATTGGAGGCTGACGACATTGTAATAGTCTCCTTGCCAATACGGGTAGTATTTGTGTCGAGACCACTACTTGACATGTGATTGAGATAGCAGCCTGCTCTTTGGTGATATTTTAATTTCTGCAAAGTGCCCTTGCATCGACTGTATTGGATGATGAGGAGGTACATGTACGTGGGACAGCATGTAATGTCTCTTTCGCCAGTAAACCGATATTATATTATTATATCTCCAGATGATATCTACACGTCTACGGGGGTTTATTCTGCTGCCTGTGCTACTGTGAGCCTGTCTGTCCCGTTTGAGAAAGGTTGGTGGTTTGGTGCTTGGAGCATGATCAGCACATAGCAAACATGTACTCTCATCATCTCCCCCCCCCCATGTGCTTTTGATTCCATATTGACAATGGATTACGAGATAGACAAACACTCTCTTCATACGATAATAACCTCGGCGACCTGATTTCTAAAGCAAAGGAGTGGCCAGCCCACCCGCATCACAGCGACTTATCTGTCGTGTCGTAGTGAAGTTCACACGAACCGCCTTTTATCTGCTTCAGCAATCACTTCTCAATTATTAGCTGTCGCCAAATCTCTATTCCAGTATCGGGTATAACACATGGACTTTTCAAGTGCTTAGAATTATATGGTATGATGTTGGGGACATGTATCCAGCTTGAGGCGCTGGTTGACTACATGTACTATCACATATCCAAGTAAACATCTTTCGATACTGGCTGTTCAAGAACTATTCAAAAATACTGCTGCTTTCACAGAATATATGTGCATCCATCGTTTGCATCCAGAGGAAACAACTTGTACTGATTTGGAGAGCCAGAACACACTACGATCGTTCATTACTTTTATCCCCTCGTACATTTTCTGCTCTCACCGTCTGGATCAGACTCACGCTACCATTCACTTTGTCTTTTCTGTCACTTTATTTAAATGGACTCGATACGAATCTGCAGCATGTTGAAGCCTGCTTGTGAGAGAACAAATGGCTGATTGGTATCACCCATGCAGCATTGTATTGTTTGCGAGGTTCCACCTGTAGAGATGTCTCATATTTTTTCTTCTCTCTAGGCATATAATTAACGTCTGTTTACTAACTGAAGCCCATAACTCCTTTTGTGTTAGAGT